CAACTGTTGCACAAATAACAACACTGATGCACTTAAAATACAATTCTGGCAATATGTACTATCTTTGCTGTGTAAAGATAGTTGCCTAGTGGCCAGACTCGCAGTCTGCTGTCTCTGTTTTAATTGTTCTAAAGGTCTCCTGGGTCCAGGATCCAAAGGAGACTTAAGGACGGCAGTGTATGTAAAATGCATAAACCCAAAGTGTATATAGACTAACAGAATCTGCTGGGGGCCGACTGGCCATTAGCTGAGGGCTGGATGGGCACACAGGAGTTCCTCTTCATCTCTAAGTGTGTGGAGTGGTTTTCTCTAGGAAGGCATAATAAATCTGTAACATGGTAAAGGAAGCCTATCTATCCCCTTATATCCTTTGATCTATGGCCACCCATTCTGCCCTGAATACTGCTAGGTTGCCAAATACAGTACAGACCACTCACTTAACTTTACACTTCAGAAAACAAAAACCATGACATCAGCATAAGTATGTCCCATACATCACACCCAACATACGTAAAGTAAGAAACTGTTTGTTTTCTTAGTATATTTTTCTGACATTCAAGTTGAATCAGGAATCTGGCCTTCGTTTTGTCGCAGCTAAAGCTAGTTGGTGATGTTTTCACAAAAGCCCTGGAGTGCAAAACCCCTGACCTGGAACAATGTTTCTTATAATACCATCCTCAGTGGGTCCTCAACATTAGTAACCCCGGGTTCCCAGGGAAAGATTGCAGACATGTAGATTCGGAGCCCATGTTGGGCATCCTTTTAATGGGCGCTATTGACTTTGAGGATAAAGCCACTGACCTTTGAAATGTTGCCTGTAATGATATTTGACACTTCAGCACACAGGCTCTGTTGCTCAGTTAGGGTTTAGGATCTGTGACAAATGTAGACTATATTAAGTACGTCAGAACTGGTACAAACTGTCCCTAACTTAGTGTGTCAGCGGCCTCCCCTAGGCTTCCAGGACCGTGTGCATGCCTTCCGCAGTGACGTTGGCCCTGGGCTCTGCATTTGTGGCCTTGGGGTGGAGGTGGGGGGCGGATAGCTCTGCACTTGCCCGCCCGCACCTGTTTCTGCTCCTGTTGGAGTCTGTGAACCAGAGACTTTACTCTCCAGGCAGGATTCGCCAGTTGCGAAGGGGCGGGGCCTGGCTGTGTAGGGCCACGTGTGCTGGAGCTAAGCAGGAAGTGACTGAAGAGTGGAACTCGGCGAGCCAGAGGCATTCGGGGCTGATGGAAGTGGAGAGGGGGCTGGAGAGGGCACCCTAGTGAGTCGCCTTTTCTCTCCTTCAAGCCCGGGGTCCCGGGCAGTCACAAGAGTGTGCAGCGGCCTCGAGGTCACAAAGGGTTGTCGTAGGGAGGGCAAGGTCCTGGAGGAGCAGCAGGGGGCTGCGGCAGGTGGCAGAGGAGGAAGGGTGTTCGGGCCCCGTCTGCTCCAACCTAGGATAAGCTGGAGACAGCGATCCGGAGCCCCTCAGTGCACAACCAAGGACTTCTTCATTCATTGTTTCATGGTGGTGTGTAAGGGACCGGGGATCGCCGGGAGCCAATGGCTGCAGTTCAGAGGCACCTCCCACTCCCGTGCATCGGTCTGGGGGAGGCCTGAGAGTCCGCAGGGTGCCTGCTGGAGAACTTTTACACATTTATACTGGCAGTCCAGATCCCGCTCCAGGGCGTCTCTGGTGGAGCCTGGCCTGCGTGTTCTGTGCAAGCTCACTGAAACCGGGCGGTGTCTTTCTTTAACTAAACCGGCGTCTTGAAATTGGGGAGGCAACAGATTTAAAGAGGGGGGAAGCAAACAGAACAAAAAACGGGGCTGAAGGAAATGTACTGGTTTCACCGGAGGAGGTGCTGCTCTGTGCAGTGAACATGCATTTGCAAAGCCCGATGATGACTTTTTTTGAAGTTAGGATGGGCGGAGGACTGTCCTCTCTCCTGGTCATTGATCCAGTTTATGATGCTGCTATCCGGCTCTTGAGGAAGTCTGAAGCAGGCTGCCTGGCATGATTTGGAGGTGTTGTGGCTGGCATGGCCTGTTCCTAGGAGCTTTACACACTTGAGAAAGCCGGTGCCAGTCTCCTGTAGGCCGGGCTCACTAAACCATTGGCTGTGTAGAAACTGGGCTAGATTTATGTGTTTAGCTGCGTTTAAGAATTCCCCCCATGGAGTCAGAAAGCTGCAGAATTGGGATCCAGCAAGTGTGGTGTCACTTGCGACTCTGTTCTTTGAGTAGATGGAACTTATTTTGGTAGAATTCTTCCCTAGCGTGCCCAAAGCCCTGAGTTCAATTCCCAGCATTGCATAAACCAGGTGCAGTAGCACACACCTGTAACCCCAGCGTTTGGGAAGCGGAAGGCGGGAGGAGAGGGAGTTGAAAGTCACCCTCTGCTACACAGTAAGAACAAAACAAAACAAAGCTAAGTAGCTCAAGTGGGGCCTGAACTCCTGGCCCTCCACCACTCTTTGAGTAACCAGTTTCCAAACAGGGAATGGAAGACACTTCCCCAAGGGGCGCTGTGCTTGCTTGTGATAAGTGCTGGTGGATGGATGGGCATGGTATCAGTCATCCTCTGCATGCTCCCGATGCTCTTCTCCCAGATGCTCAGTTACACACTGAGCTTAGGAGAGGATTTCCCATCCCACCAGCCGCCATGATTACAGTTCCCTTCTGTTTGATTTTGTTGATTGGCAAATGAGGATCTTTTTTTTTTCTCCTAGTATCTGTCAAAAGAAACAGGTACTTGTGTGTGTGTGTGTGTGGGGGGTGTTTTATGCTATGATCTGCCTTGGAGAGCGAGTATTGAGAGGATGCTAGTTTGGGGCCTGTCTTTGTAAATGTTTAACGTTTTACTCACCCGCGACTGGGAATGGTCACTGCACTAGTGGTTCTGGGGGTCTCAGTTTAAAAGCAAACACGAGTCCCTCGTATTTTATTGTTTTAGTTTTTGACACCAGATCTCACTATGTAACCCTGATTCACCTGAAACTTGCTATATAGACCAGTCTAGCCTCAAACTTGCGGAGATCTGCTTGCATTTACCTCTAAGTGCTGGGACTAAAGATATGTGCCACCATGCCCAGCACACTGCTCTTGAGGTTGACTAGACTTGGGGATTCAGTAAAAGGCTATTTGTTTGCTTGCAATTTTAAAAAAAGTATTAATGTGTGCAGTCACTGTCTTGAATTTCTATATCGGGTGTGTCCAGCCTGTACCCCAGCATAGAGATGAATACAGCCTAACAAAATAGTAAACTTACTTAAGCATTGTGAGGTTTGGGAAGGGGTGCATTTTAAAACTACCGTTTTATTTATTTTGTGTGTTTGTGTGTGGGGCTTGTGCATCCCACGGTGTAAATGGTGGAGGCCAGAGGACAGCATGTTGGCTCTTTCTCTCGCCTGAGTACTGGGAATTAAACTCAGGTTCTCAGGCTTGGTGGAGTTTTGGTTGTTGTTACTTGATTGTATGGTTCTCATAGCAAAGATACCCTGTTGAAATGTCAAAAGGTTGCATATATTCAGAATCTGATCCCATAGGTGGTTTTTACCTTAGACCTTGCACAGGGGCCCAGCTGGGCTCATCTGAGCCCATAGCCTTTTCCGGGTGTGGATTGGGTACTGGGCCCTGTCCACACTCTGCCATGCTTTGCTCTAAGGCCCGCAGTGGGGACTTCTCCAGCCCTTGATATGCAGGCATGTAATAATTCCTGGCTGCTCAGCACCGAGGGAGGTAAGCCAGGTGGGGTCAGGTCCAGTCCTGTGGGTGCTGGAGAGCGAAAGGGGAGCTGAATGGGATCTTTCAGTGGAGGCCCTGCACCTCGTGTGTGCCAGGGCATACGGCCGCTTCACAAGTGGACTTCCCTGCTTTGTAACTTTCCACAGGAGAAGGCTGACTGTGGTCTCAGATCTAGGAGGGGATGGGCTGGCTATGGTCTCGGTGTCGAGCCTGGTTAAGTCTGAGGAGGTTCTCTGGGTCCACACAAGAGAGGGCCTTTTCTTTGCTCGGTAGAATTATGTATGCGCTACTTCACCATCAGCAGGGGTGTGCTGAGCTCCAGGGCAAGCGCTGTTCGGTGTTCGCTGTTTGTAGTTTCATTTCCTTGCGCTCTCTGGTTCTCCTGTCTGACTAAGCTGGCCCCTCTCACTCAGCAAGTAGTGCTCAGGGGGTGCCTATGCTCCTTCTCACAAGGCCCTGGGAAGTCTCCATCCTCAAGCAGTTAAGGTATACGAGGCAAAGGAGGCAGCCAGCCTCCAATAGAAAGCAGCAAAGTTAGTGTTTGGACACGGTGGGGGATCATGGGAGGGAGCTGGCATCAGGTGGGCCTCAGAGTAGGCTCTTGGGCTTAGAGGGCAGGAGCTGTGGAGGGAAGGCGTTTCTGAAGGGGCTTATGGAGGCACAGCTGTCTGGGTTTGTAAAGACGCTCTAATGGACTCAGTTGAATGGGAGTGTGGCACCTGTACTGGGTGTTGTTGGACTGACTTGGAGAGCCCCTGGAGGAGGGGTCGTCTGTCAGTGGAATTCACCCTACATTTAGCCAGCAGGATGGCTTGGGGAGCCAGGAAGGTGTGACTAGGGATCAGATGGAAGCACTTGAGAGGGAATTTGAGCTTGTGGCCTGTATGTGACAGGGACTGGGAAGGAGTGGCCAGCATGGACAGGTGCACGGAATGAGTGGGGAAGGCTGTGGTGGGATCTGCATGCCCCTTCCCTCCATGCTACACAGCTTACACTCTTCAAGCTTCTCTCTTGAGAGCACATTCCCAGGACTGCGGCCTCTTGGGAGGGCTTCCTGGTCTCTCTGCCAGTGTTCTCATGACACCTTTTAAAGTCACCCGACTCTTAATATCTCTGGAGCCCGGGTGAAAGGCTGTTGCATTGGCGCGGCTTGAAGATGCAGACTGCCTACTCTGAGGCAGAGCACCGTAGGCAGGGGTTTGGTTGAGGGCGTGCATATGTCACTAATGAGGGCCCCTCAGCACCGTCTCTCTTTCCTCTGTACACAGCTGTATCCAGCATGCTCCAAGGCTACAGCTCCGTGTCCCAGGCCTTGCTGGGGACCTTCTTCACCTGGGCGATGACAGCAGCTGGAGCCGCTCTTGTCTTCATATTCTCCAGCGGGCAGGTGAGTTGGCTCACTTCCGGAGGTTCACAGGGACCCTTCGTGAGCTCTCAAACTGTCCCCTTCCACACAGCAGTTGGCAGCGGCCACACAGGGAGCTGGTGAGGTAGCAATGTTCTCTTACCTCCGTGTGTTTTCTGTCTCCTAACTAGGCCAGGGAACAGGTACACAAGCCACACATTGTTTTCCCCTCATGTGCCTCTGGCACCTGGACTCAAAAGGGCGTGGCACCGAGGGACTAGCTATGTGGCTTCCATTAACCTGCTGCCTCTTTCTGAGTCTCCATATGATTTCCTGCATGCCTGGCGCAGGGAGTACTGTGCAGGCTCCAAGATGATTAGGTTTCCGATAGAACTGCCCTCCCTGTGGCCTTGAGTTAGTTAGACAATTGGTAAGACCTTCCTTGGGGGAAGGAAGAGGCCTGCTTCTCTTCTACCCCAGTCTGGGGCACTTCATTCCTGCCCCTTGGCTGAATACTGACAGGCTCACTTCCTTTACCTGTGTAGAAGACTTACGCCTGTCCACCTCTATCCTGCCCCACCCCCTGAATGAATACAGATAGACCCACTGCCTCATTTTCTCTTCTGATATCATGTAAGCCCACCCTTACCCCAAATGCATCCTGTCTCTTAGTATATATAGTCTATGTAGGCTCCTCATCCGTGTGCACACTGTGTCTGTCCACCCTTGTCATGTGTCCTGGACGTATCCTATAGGTAGCTCCCAGTTCTGTCTGCCATTCTCAGACCCACAGCCTCACAAAATCTCCTATATCTCGTCATCCTCTATTTCTTCCTCTACACTCCAGATGCTTACATCCCTCCTCTACCCTCTGCATACACCCTCCTCTATCTACTCTATGCCACAGGCATAGCCCGTACCCACCTCCTGTGCCTGAAATTCTACTCTCTTCTAACCCCGAGCTCTGCCTCGACCCCACTCAGAGCCACTCATGGCTGTCCTGAAGAATGTAATCCTCGCCTTGCTCAGGGACACTTGGGGATGTTGTAAGGGTAGCCCATGAGAAAGCAACTTAGAGCTCTTTAGCCACAAGGAGCCCTAGACCCAGAAAGGAAAACGCCTCTAGAGCAGTCAGTGTCTCAGTCCCCTCGTGCAATGGACCAGTTTGGCAGGTACTGGCTTCAGCAATAAGATACCGCCTCCCACACTGCTGCCTCCACCCTAACTGGGGGAGGTTGGTTGGCCCAAATCTATCGTTTGGACACTTGGATCTCAAATTATACAACCAGGGATTACACGGGGTACCGGAGATCTCAGTGCGTAAGACACCTAAGATAGGTCAAATCCACAGATAGAAAATAGAATGACACTTGCCAGTAGCTGAGAGGAGGGGGAGGGAGGAGGGAAGAGGGAGGATGTTGGGCGGTCTGGAGAAGCCTGGTATGCAAGGACCACTGCCACTTAGCGTGGTGTCCTTGAGGCTCATCCTCACCTTCCCAGTGTGGGAGCCTCGTCCCTTCTTAATGGTGAAGAGCATCACATCATAGGTACAGACTACAAGTGAGTGTCTACTGTGCATGACAGATGTCTTTATTGGAATAGAGGCGCAGAAAGGTACACGTTTTATACCTATGCAGTTTGTTATTATCTCATAAAGGGAAGGCCGTGAATCTGGGCGGAGATCAAGCACCAGCTCCTCCCAGGCCCTTCAGGCCCCTTCCCGCTTGCCACCCCACCTGGACTTCCATTCTGTGTGTAACACCCCACTCTGCCCTGTCTCTCCCACAGGGTGGGCTTTCTTGTTTGGGTGCTGTTGTTCGGCGCTGTACTCACATAGCATTAACTGTCCCCTGTCTGGCCGAATTCACCCCGTTCAGTTCCCGGTGTGCTTAATGCTTCTGCCGGTTGTGTGCATGTATCTATGCCTGTCTCTACACACATGCATTCACACAGCATGTTCTTTGTACATGTAACGTACGTGTGTGTGTGTGTGTGTGTGTGTGTGTGTGTGTGTTTTCTTTGCCCTGTGGCATTTGATTGTCCCCCCTTGGTGTATCTGCCTCTCCGTGGGTAGCACTTGGTGCCGTTTCTACTTTGGGGGTCTTACGTACAGTGCATCTTGTCCATGGGTTTGGTGATCCCAGCATGCATTTCTGTCGTTTCTCAGTAGTGGCGTGTGCGCTGTAGTCGACTGCCTTTTGTTTTCTGTGTGACGTGGTTGTGCCAGCTTGTGCCCCCACCTGTGTGACCACTTTGGTTGCTCCTTTGTTCCTCATCAGCCCTTGGTCATTTCCACATTTTAGATCGTTACTTACTAAAGGCATAGGGGTGCTAGGTGAGAGAGAATGTGCAGACCCCTCCCCCCTGCCAAGGATACTTCTAATTGACTCTGGAATGGATGGATTCAATGGGAGGTCACTGCCAGCTTAGGAGTAGGTAGGTCAGTGGTTCTTCTGGGTTGTGTGGCTTTCTCCCTGCTGAGGCCACATCATCTTGTCCTTGGAAACTGAAACATCTCACTTTTTCATTTTCAGAGGCGGATCTTAGACGGAAGTCTGGGCTTTGCTGCAGGGGTGAGTCACATCTAGTGGGTGAAGTGCGTTGATCCTAACCCTTCCTTCTCTGGGGGCTGGTGTCAGCCCCTCACATAACCCAGGTTCACTTTCTATAAGAGCTAACACCTCCTCCCATCACCAACTGTGTTCATTTCCCAGCTTATCTGGTGCTCTTAACTCTTATGAGTTGGAGAAGGGAGTGGTTCAAGCCTTAGAACATAAGGTAACATCAGGGGAGGACCTAGCCAGATAAATAGCATGAATTAAACATCTCCTTTTTCTTCTTGAAGGATTTATCTTTATGTTTAATTATGTAATGTGTGCAGGGTGGTGGTAGTTGTATGTGCACGGGCCCCCACGGGTCAGCAGTATCAGGTCTCACTGGAGCTGGAGTTACGGTGGGCTGTGAGACCTCCTCTTGCAGGCGCTGGGAATCAGACTTGTCATTTGTAAGAACAGTGTGTGCTCTTGCCTGCTTCACCATCTCTCCAGCCCCCCAGGATCTTCTTTTTCTTTTTTTACTTTAGGTACTTTCAAGCACACAAGGAAAAAAAAAAAAACGATAATCTATATCCTCGGTACACATCACCCACCTGCAGTCGTGATTGACATTTGGCAAATCTCATTTCATCTGTCTCCCTTCAGCCTTCTCGGGAACTCAAGAGTGTTTTATAAAAGCAAATCCCATATCTATGTAATTTCACCTGTAAATCCAATATGTATTTCAAACTAAGTGACTTCCCGTGAAACCGTAATCAGTATGCCACCGTCACATCTCCCGGAATGCAAACAGTAATTCCTCACCGTAACTGAGGGCTCAGTCTGTACTCACATCTCCTCCGTCTTCTCCAAGAGGTCCTGTAAGATTACTCTACAAGAGCTGGGATCCATAGACAATCTGTCGGCCGTCTTTTCCAAGTCTCCCCCTACCCCACCTCCTACGCTGGTAATATGTTGGAGAAACTAGGTCTTTGTTTCTAGAATGTTCCACATCCTGGGTTTGGCGGATTCCTTCCCTGGAGTGTTTACAACTTGTTCTGTTGTTGATCTCAAGATGAGTGCTAATCCACCTGGAGGCTTAATTCACATCTACTTTCCTATGAAATGATGTGAATTCATTAGCTTACTGTGCTTGTGTGTGAGCATGCCCATGCCACGGCACACACATGTGGAGGTCGGAGGTCCATTTGCAGTTGGTTTTCTCCTTCCATTGTATGTGACCCGGTTCCTGTTGCTAGGCTTGGGGAAAGCTCCTTCCCCACCGAGCAATTTTGCAGGCCCAGATTTTACTCTTCAAGCATGAGTCCTTCATGGTGGTGGTGCGTGCTCCCAACCCCATGACAGTATCAGAAGGCATGAACTGTGTGCCTTCTGTCTTAGTCCATCAGAGCTTGGTTCTTATCCGCAGTCTCTACAGCCCTGTGATTGGGGAAAACTTGTCTTGGGGTGGGACCTCACTGAAGTCACCTAAGTCACTGACTGTCAGACCAGGATCTTTAGCACAAATTCTAATCGGTCTTGATAATAAAAGCCCAGAGTCAGGGGAAAATGCTGAAAGATCAGAGAGACGAAGGAGTAAAACCACAGCCACACTATTCCTCGATAACTTCCCAGCAGAAAAGAGACTGAGCCCCCTGTCTCCTCCTGCCTTATTATTTCCTCTCTCCGCCCAGATGTATCACTTCCTGTCTGTCTGTACAGACCTCCAGACCTCTATGGTTAACTAGTGCCTAGCACCACCCTCTGATCTTCAGGCAAACTTTATTTGTTAGAATATAAACAAATACTACAGGGTCTGTCCTTAGAGAACGCAGAGATTCCCAAGCTGTACGTAGGTACACAGAGAGCAGTAGCCGAATCCATTTCTAGGCCGCCAGCTTGCATATATTCCGCTCCGTGAAACTTCTGTGCCCGAGAATGCTCTGGAAGCCAGCTAGCCTTTCCCGTCCTCCCTAGACAGATGTCCCCTGCCTTATTCTCCTGTCTCCCAGCAGCAAAACCTCCTGGCAGAAGTTGAGATTTAGGGTCACATAATCCACTTTGGGGTGAATGTCCCCAGTAGCCTATGGACCTCTCATAAAAGCCCATTTCTCAAAGGCTGTTACCAACCAGCAGTGCCACCCTAGGGACTCAGCCTTAAACTTATGGACCCTTGATGGTCACTCCCAAACCATGGTAGAACTCTGAGCCTCCTGATGAGGGACCCCATGTGACAAGCGGCTGTGTTTGTTATGTGTGAAGATGCTCTGAGGGGCTGGACCCTTCTCCAGCACTGTTCCCAGACTCATCTCGGGGTCCATGGCACTGTTGTTAAGTAAAGGATTAGGACCCTTAGGATTGGCATAGTGCCAGTCTCTCACTTTTCTGTTTATGGACTCGGCCTGACTCTCATGGCTCCCAAACACCAGTGGTTTCTGAAGGGCGGAAGGTACTGCGGTGGCGTCTCTGTCCCCTGCTTCCCCCCAGCCCTGTTCTACATGTTCAAGTGCGATGGAAGGTGGCCTGTTCAGCACTCCCACGCCACGAGGAGAATCTGTGACAAGGTGAGGGGTGCTGAGGCCACTCAGAAGGAAGATAGATTATCGCTATTATTGTTGTATTTTTCTTTATGATTTCATGCTCAGACTTCCTTTGTGACTGTCACCAGCACGGGGGTGGGGAAGATGATTTATATTACCCCTCCTCCACAGTGCTGGGATGCAACAGTGTTTGTCTTGGGGAAGGAGCTCTTGGCCTTTTCTTGCCCTGCTGAGTGCCCAGGGTGGAGTGTTCCCTAATTGAGTGCTCATGAAACCTTCCTCTGGAGTCTTCTGAATAGTCATCACCCTTTTCCTGCCTTTACCTACTCCCCTACTTTGCTTGTACTGGTGCCTACTTAGTGTGAGTGGGTAGCCTACCACCAGCTTGTATTCCTGTCACCTCCCCTCTCATCCTGCAGGCCTGGGCCCGCTGTGTAAATTCGCTGGAATGTTCTTCTTGGGCATGTGATCCTCCTTGATGAGGATGACTCCCATTGTCCCTGTAAGGAGAAGGTGAGTGAAGATTAGAGAAAGCTAAAAAGGTCCTGAGATGGGGTGTGGCTCAGTTGAAGAGCACTTACCTAGCATGTGCAAGGGCCTGGGTTCAATCCCCACCATCTCCCCCAAACGAAACAAACCGCCTAGAGGTTCAGGTTATATGGTCCTGTGTGTGTTCGAGTCGCCCCACTTTTGCAGTTTATAAGAACTGGTAGATGCCTAGTAGTTGCTCCTTTAATGTGACTGGCTCACAAGATGCCCTTTTAGCATGACTGGGTCCCATTGCTCCTGTCTGTTCATCCATTTACTTCCCTACCTATTCATCCAGCATCTGCTGGAAAGCCTGTTCTACTCTGCTCACTGCGGCAAGGGAAGGGCAGCTGAGGGACAAGAAAACACTTCTGTCTGTCAAGAAGCTGTAATCCACTGGAGGGGTGTGCCAACCAGTCTGGTGGGCTAGACCCATCTGCTACCTGTTCTTGTGAATACAGGCAATGTACCAGAACAAGCCACACCCACATGTCACAGTGCCTGTAGCTGCTTTTGCATCATAGCAACAACACCAGGCTGTGGCTGACTCACTGGCTCTCAAAGCCACAGCTATCTGTTCTTTGGACTTTAAGAAAAGTTCGCTGGATTCTGAGGTGGCGCTGGGGGCTGGGAATTTAGGTCTGGTGACTGTGTGAGCAGCCAGAAAGGGAAAGACTACAGCTCTGTTCTGCTGGGCCCAGGTTCCGGTTCCAGAGTGCTTCCTGGAATGTCTGGTGTTCCCAAGTAGATGGTTTCCCGGGAGATGCCTGGCTTTGTGTAGATTCTGCACAAGAGACTTGGGGTCCTGTACAGACCCCTCAGAGAATGGCTTTGCAGTGTAGTGTGGTATCTTAGATGGACTCTGATGCCATTCTTCGTGTCATTTAAGACTGTGTAGAGCTAGAGAGCTGGGCCACTGGTTAAGAATGTGCCCTGAACCTGGGCAGTGGTGGCACACACCTTTAACCCCAGCACTCAGGAGGCAGAGGCAGGCAGATCTTTGTGAGTTCAAGACTAGCCTGGTCTACAAGAGCTAGTTCCAGGATAGGCTCCAAAGCTATGTAGAAACCCTGTCTTGAAAAACAAACAAGACAAAAAAAAAAAAAAAAAAAAGAATGTGTCCTGCTCCTGCAGAGGACCCAAGTTTGGTTCCCAGCACCAACACTGGGTGGCTTAAAACTGACTGTAACTCCAGCTCCAGGGGATCTGACTCTTCTGGGCTCCGTGGGCACCCACACTCATGTGCCCATATGAGATACAGGCACACACATGATTAAAATATAGTAATAACTCTTCAGAAAGGACGGTGTCTCCAGAGACGGTCAGGGCAAAGGTATTGTGACAGCAAATGTTGATTGTGAACTTGATGGAATTTAGACTGGAATGGAAACAGACCTCTGGCTGTGTCTATGAGGGAGTTACCTCAGTAAGTTAGCTCAGCTGGGAAGAGGTGCCCTGCATGTTGGTGGTACCGTTTCATAGACCAGGGTCCTGGACTGAACAGAGGAGAAAGTGAGCCGAACACCAGCGTTCGTTTCTGTCTCTGTTCCTCGCTGTGGAAGCAGTGTGACTAGCTGCCTCTTGTTCTTGTTGTCAAGATGTCCCTTGTCATGATAGACCGCATCCCCTCAGGCCACAAGCCAGATTAAAACTTCCTTAAGTTGTTTTTGTCAAGTATTTTTGCCATAGCCATGAGAAGCTTTAACTAGTAGGAGGGAGATTATGAGAAGCTTTAACTAGTAGGAGGGAGATTTTGAAAGCAAGCTACCTGTCTCAGTACAAACCCAGCTTAGTTTTACAGCTGCCTTGAGTAGCCCTGGCCTAGAGGACTGAGGCTCCCTGCCCTGGCATCTTTTAACAGTTGAGTTAAGTAGCCCTCCGGCTTTGGCAATGCCACCCTCACTATGAAGCAGGGATCCCCACCCTAGAAAACTTGTATTACATTTAAAAATCACATTTGTTTGTTTGTTT